ATGTACTTATTATGTCTATTCGTGTACCAAAATATTTTATACAAATTTTAGAGCTTGTAGTTGGTAATTAACATGAACGGGTATTATTTGGTTGACTTTTGGTGCACTTTTAATTCACAGTTCTTAATATCATGAATTAAAGTAAGGCTCCATATTGTTTTTCTTTGTTTTTTTTGGGTTTGTCTTCTATAGCGGATTTGTTAAACTTATAGTGCCTTAGGTCCCACACAAATACGTTCTGTCCTCGGCGGTATTTCCAAACCAATACGACTTGGGGTCCTTCAAGAAGCGAGCCTACCATTTCCTCAAAGACGGGCAACGCATATATAGTTCCTCTGGTGTTGCAATGTCCATGGGCGTCGTTGATCATCTCGGTTTTCCCGCCGCTCGTTTGCCCCCTTATATGATAACAAATAGGTATTTCCTAGTTAAAGCGTTAAAGAAGCTTTAAAAACTGAATGCTCCAATCGCTCACAGCTAGTGTTAGTTCAAAATTATTCAATCAACTTTCCTTTACGAATAAAAGGTAAATACAACAGTCACTTTAAAGCACAACTATTAATTTAAGTATCGCATTTTGACGCGTGCCGTCACTATGAGCCATTCTGTACCGATTTATCGGTTTTTTATTCAACATCTTAATGGCACGCTATTGCATTTCGTGTAATGACCGGCCATTACGCGTAACATTATACTCCAGACGCGCGTTTACCCACGTGACTGCTGTCAACCGCCCTCAGTATGTGTGCATTTTAATTTGATTTTCAAATAAGTAATCGGTAGATATATTTGTTTAGCGTTTACGAGGCGAATAAATTGAACATACATGATCTAGACTAGGCTATCATAATATTATAAATGCGAAAGTTTAGATGGATGTTTGTTAGAGTTTGTAGCCCAAACTACTAAACGAATCTCGATGAAACTTGGCATAGATGTAGAGGATAGTCTGGAAGAACACATAGGCTATTTACTTTTTTTAAATTCGACTCAGACGGAGTCGCGGGCGAAAGCTAGTAACTAAAACAACTAAAATAAAATTGAACATACATTGATGATCTAGACTAGGCTATCGTCTATATTTTTTACATTTTTCGATTCTCTAGGATGCAGTTTACAGAAAATACAACCTTAAATCTAACTGCGATAGCATTTTGGACAGAAGACATTCTTATGTTAATTTTAGATAATCAAAATACTGCGGATATTTAACAAATCTTTTGCAAAAAATTATATCTATCAAAATACATACAAAAGAGTGCGCCAAATCTGAAAAAATATTTACTGAGTGTCCATTCTTTTATTATTTTATTCTTGTATAAAACTATTGCAGGTCACAGATATGATATAAGAGCATTTATTAATTAGATAACTTGTTTGTCCGTATTTCACCTTTTACAATATTTTTTAAGATATTTCAATTATAAAGGAATAGTGGAAAATAGGTTAGATTAAAACGGTGTCAGACACTAGTAAGTCTAAGATAAATTAAGTATCAACATAGCTTACAACACTATTAAAGTAAGTAATGCGTTACTATATATTAAAAAAGAAATTCATTAAAACGGAACAAAATGTTATTCCGCCACCGGTTTACAAAACAGATGTCTATGTCAAAAAGGTTTTTTTTTTTCAATTCTTTTGTAGCCAACGGTATGCTTTATGTCGTTCATATAAAAGACTGTTTTATTATTTTTTAAAAGGGTTCCGTGGGCGTTTACTTCCGTTTTTGCGTTATTCAATAATGGTTTGAGGGTTCCACACTCTTTTTAGTGTTTTTTTGTACTACAATGTGACACTCTGTGCAAGGAAGGCGTTCCAATATTTCGCGCATATGGTATGATAAAAAACTTCGTATTTATAGAAATATTTGAAATTTGACTAACAGGATCTCGCTGTTTGTTATAAATTTATGTTAGAAATTTATAATTTTGTTTAACAACGACCATTTACTACACCAAAGTGGATCTTTGTAATAAGTATTTCGTTTTTTATTTTGTTTTAATTCTTTCTTTTTTTTTGTAATTTAACACTAGAAATACTTACGTATTAACTGTCAAAGAAGTGGTCACAATGTTGTTTACTTTGGCTAATCGTTTTTTATCATCTTTTTGTTCTTTACAATACAAATTTACTAATTGTGTCTACAAAGTATGTTTAAAGGTGAACCCAATACACTTAAAAGTAGTGTATTGTGTCCTATTTTTGGATCTATCCGCATAGTGTGTTGCTACCCTAACAATAAAAAGCGAATACCTTTATCAGACAGAGATAAAAAGTAGATTTACGGTACATTACAATTCTTTTGATGCATATGGAGTACATGGTATATTTTTAATTGCTTGTGTTTTTTGTTAAGGCGCTAGGACATGTGTCGTGGACACCGCTGCAAGTGTAATTTTGACTTCAATGTGTCATTTCTTAAATACGACCGTATACATATTACCCAATATATAGTGTAAACATACAAGTCGCTAACAATTGACTTCAAGTGTTACGTTTATTGCATCTAACCACTGCAACTTCGAAGTTCAAAATTTTTGAGGGTAGAAATTAAATTTAATAAAAAGTATTTTGTCTTTCGATAAGTACAATGTAATTTATCATCAGGGAATCGATTTAATCATGGAAAATGTAAATGGTAAGTAACCACGATGTTATTTTCTAACCATAATATTTAAAAGCATATGACATTCTAACCATATGACTAAAACTATATGTTTTAATTTTTTTTATCGTATTTCACGTTGATGTAATGATCGACGTGCGGGATTGTATAATGGATACAAATGTATTAACCATTGATATCATTATTTTCAAACTTCACACTATTAGTACTCACACCGGGCATGCTTTGTGCTACACGAAAATGGAGGCAAGTGCAAAAACACAAAAATCCCTTTGCTGAGACGCCGCTGCGTAAAAACACCGCAGCTACGGACCCATCTGCAGGGACGTTTCAATAAAGGCACATATAATTGGCTGCCGATCGTCATTTTAATTACACTTGCATCGTTTTTAGCTGGACCCCAAAGGGGCAGATATGTCGCCGCGCC